GTGACGACTAGCGCCTTGAAGCGTATCCGGAGACCATTAGGCAGCCAGTGCAGCTCGCGGAGGATAGGTGTTACGTGGGTGAACCGAGGTGCACCCACGATCGCTCGCGCGGCTGCATTCTGGACAAGTGGAGTTGCCGAATGCTCTTGAAGGGCTGCCCCATGTAGAGCACGTTGCAGATAAGGTGCGTGTTTATCAACATTCTACTGAAAAGACCGTGGCAACTCGAGCAGACATCTGTCGGAATCTTCACAGACTGTTTGCGAAGCCTTGCTGGCTGTGAATGACCATAATTCACAGCCGTGGGAATAAAAGAGGGTTTGGGGGACTAAGATTGTGATTTATGCTTTCTTAGGAAGGCCAGGTCAGAACAATGAGCTGCTCATCAGTATTCAAAATACACCATTGGTGGCATCATCCCATCATCCCTTATGGGTTATTATAGGGCGTTGGGTAGCTAATAGCCACCCAACGCCCTATATCGGAAGCCCTGTGTTGCTCCCCCTTGCCGCTTTTCCTGCCCTAAGCCGCTCTCCTTACGCATTTTCTTGAGCAGCTGCCTCTGTCGCTGCGGCGATCTTCTTGTAGCAATAGATCATCTCCGCTACCAGCCAGATGGTCAGGACAACGATGAGGACGTACATCATGATTTCGGAGACAATAGATGCCATATCCCGATTGGCTACGGAGGAAAGGGAAAGTCAGGAATAGGGCTGTGTGAAGTGCAGGCATCCAGGTTAACTGAACTCGGTTACTTTTGTTGTTGTTGCTAGAATGGAAATTGAATACTGAGGTTTTGGGGAATTGTGGCTCACGAACCACATGGGCAAAGAATGACCTTGTTTCAGCTGGTAGCGAACCCACTTACTGTTGGGCTCTTTGGCAAACACCTAAAACTCAATGGGATTCTTTCCAGTCACTGTTCTCATAGTTCTCTTTAACCCAGTGTCCCCAAACTTGACAACTTTAAGACTTGTGGACTCCAACTCCTAGAATTCTCCAGCCAGCTATGCTGGCTGGAGAATTCTGGAAGTTGAAGTCCACAAGTCTTAAAGTTACCAAGTTTGAAGACCTCTACTTTAACCTGATATAATTAGATGAACAGAATGGAGCTACAAGAATTCCAGCATCTCAATGTTTTCCGATTCATGGACAAAAGAGCGACCGACAAAAGCGCGCCCAACAAAACCATGAGTTCTAAACTGCGCCGACGAATGAGCACTGAAGCGCGCTGATAACAGCGCATCAACAGAAGCGCGCTCTAACCCTAAACTTTACCCTGACCCTAAACCTTACCTTAACTTAAATCGTGCTTCTGTCGGTGCGCTGTTGTCGGCGCATTGATGACGTCGCGGTTTTAGCGTCGCGGTTTTGTCGGCGTGGTTTTGTCGTGCGCGCATTTGTCAGGTCACAATGTTTTCCTCTAAAGCAGGGGTCACCAAACTTTCAGACCTCAGGGATTTCATAATTTTAAATCCCGCGGACCACTAATAGGATCTGCCTAATGACCGGCTGGGTGGGCGTGGCTAGGTGGTCATGTGACTGGGTGGGCATGCCCAACTCGATGTCACTCATGGCAAGGGATGCCTTGCCAGCATCTACTCACCCCTCCCCTCCCAGCCACTCCTCGCCTGCCCGCCTGGGCTCCTTAGGGCCCCGACAGGAAGCAGTTGTTGGAGCTAAGCAGCCACCACGAGAAAGAGTTGGCAAAATAACTCAGTTCAAATTGGATTGACCGAGAAGGGGGCTCAGCAGAAGCAGCTTACTGAGGACTATGAGCGTAGGCTTTCCAAGCAGAGGGAAGACCTACGGGAGGGCAAGGCCAGGGTCGCAAGCAGCCCTCCCGAGCTCTGTTTTTGCTGGCAGAGACACTGGGGGTCCGTCCTTTGCTGGCGGCACCGCGGGCCAGATCTAAGCACCCTGTGGGGCCAGATCTGGCTCACGGGCTTTGAGTTTGACACCCCTGGGCTACATCCATCCATCCTTACTTCTGGTTATGCTCATTGGTGGAATTCAGGCAACAACCCATCCCTCCCTTCTGACATCATTCGCATTGGACTTATTTTTGCTTGCTGTTTGAAGGACAGCTTGGAGAACTTTGATAAGTTCTGAAGCTGCCAGATGGACACTGTAGGAAATAAGGTGGTTGAAAAGATACTCTGATCCATAAGTCATCTGATGTTTAAACTCTCCAATGGTCTACAATAGGGGTGTCGAATGCAAGGCCTGCGGGCTGGATCCGGCCTGTGATGTGTTTGGATCCAGCTTACAGGGCCGTCCTGGAAAATGTAAGAGGCTGGCCAGCGTCCCTTCAGCCTGGTCTACCCCATGCGAAGAGGAAACACATCATCAGTTTGGGGAGTGGTGTCAAGCTGGCCACGCCCACCATTAGCCATACCCAGTGAATGGTATCAAGCTGGCCACACCCCACCCAATTGGCAACACCCACCCAGTTGGCCATGCCTGCCTGGTCCTCCGAGGTCAACCAGTCCTGATGCAGCCCTCAATGAAAATGAGGTTGACACCCCTGGTCTACAACATGCCAACTTGTGCCTGCTCCACCACCTTTGAGGCTCCAGCTTTAGGCTTACCTTTATGAACCACAGACAGGTGGATGGTCTTGTTGACCATTATGTTGTAGGAGAACTCATTGGCATAATGGAGGGTGCGGTTGACACTGCAGATGTACTCCCCTCTGTGTTCTTCAGTCACGTTCAGGATGAAAATGGAGACATCCTGCAAATCTGCAATGTTCTTGGTACCATTCCACATCACTAGATCTTCAAAGCGAGGATCGTATATAGAGAGCTTATCATAGAAATCATAGCGAAGAATCTGGAGAGAAGATGGAGAGGACCCAGTCAGAACCAGAAGAAACAGTACTGGGCACAGAAAAATGCAATAGTAATACGATGGGGATGAGTTGAAGTAACATATTGTGAATCAATCTGAAGATAGCCACTGATTGATTCAATCTTCACAGTTTGAAGTTTGGAGATTCTTCTAAGGGAATCACATTGTGTCCTCTATTAACTGGAAGAAACTAAAATAATGTCCTCAGGTAGAAAATGCTGCAATGGAAAGCAGTGGTGAAATTCAATTTTTTTTTTTACAACCGGTTCTGTGGATATGACTTGGTGGGCATGGCAGGGGAAAGATACTGCAAAATCCACATTCCCTCCCCACATCATTGCAAAATCTCTATTCCCACCTCATTCAGAGGTGGTATTTGCCGGTTCTCCGAACTACTCAAAATTTCCACAACTGGTTCTCCAGAACCTGCTGAATTTCACCCCTGATGGGAAGGCACAGCCTAGACAACTCTTCAACTGCTTCTTCTGAGTCCCAGAACGTTTTGGAAGACAATCTGTCTTAAATCTTCTGGACTACTTTGCTCCCTTCACAAGTAGTAGAACAGGGCTCTCCAACTTTGGAAACTTTAAGACATGTGGACTTCCAACTCCTAGCCAGCTATGCTATAGGCTGGCTGAGGAATTCTGAGAGTTGAAGTCCCCAAGTCTTCAAATTTGCCAAGGGTGGAGATCGCTGTAGTAAAAGATCGTATCCAAAGAGCTAGTTTCAATGGTCATTGTAGTTAGTTCTGGAGATGAAACAGAAAAGGCTATGCTTTTGATCTTCCATCATAAAACAATGAGGCTGTACTGACGCAGTGGTTAGAAGGCAGTACTGCAGCTAATTCTGTTGACTACTGGCAGTTTGAGTCTCACCAGGCTCAAGGTTAACTCATCCTTCCATCTTCCAAGGTGGGTCAAATGAGGACCCAGATTGTTGGGGGCAATAGGCTGACTCTGTAAACCGCTTAGAGAGGGCTGTAAAAGCACCGTGAAGCGGTAGATAAGTCTGTGCTAGTGCTAATGTCCTTCCTTCCTTCCCTCCCTCCCTCCCAGTGGTTAGAATGCAGTATTGCAACTAATACTGTTGACTGCTGGCAGTTCGAATCTCACTGGCTCAAGATTGACTCAGCCTTCCAACCTTTCGAGGTGGGTAAAATGAGGACCCGGATTGTTGGGGGCACGAGGCTGACACTGTAAACCATTTAGAGAGGGCTGTAAAAGCACTGTGAAGCGGTAGATAAGTCTAAGTGCTATTGCTATGAAACATAATTTCTCTAGCAAGTCCTTGGAAGAGGACAGATCCGTTCTATGAGCCTCCAAGTAACAATTCCCCCATATCTGATATGTAAGGTTTTATGGCGGCTTATCTTAGGCAGGCTGCACCAATGGTATGCCATTTACTATAAACCCGAAGACTCCGGATGACTACATGATTGCACCCATGGAGTTTACTGGCAACAACAGAAAAGTGATATGTCATTCCCTCCTCCCAGAATGTTTTTTTTAATCTTTCCAATCTGGTTTACATCGTGGTGGTCTCCCATCCAACATTAAACAGATCAAATCCCAGACATGTCTTTTAGGGGCTGAAGCCGTGACGAGATGACGTGCGATCTCAAAGCTCTGAGATCGCAGTCGACACTTTTATTGCTAGGGGGTCCCAACGGGCCTAAATCATCCTGAAGAGATGGTGAATAGGAAGATTACATCTTGCTGATCTCGGGGATATCGCAAAATCTCCGAAAGAAGCAAGGAAAAGTCTTCGAGCTGGTAAAAATATTCCAGTCTTTTGTCAAGACTGACAAAGTCAGGGTGGCCTCAGAACGGAACGATGTGGAAAGAGAAAGTGTTTCCAGCTGGTGAGAAACTTTTATTGTTTTAACAAAGCAGACAAGCAAACGGGGATCAGCACAACCATACTTCTAAAACAGATTAAATCTGTATGAATCATTATTCCTATCTCTACATGGTAAGCAGCAGTGAGGGTGATTCTCTACCTTGGGACATTGTTAAAATGTCCCCTCTTGACAAAAGCAGAAAAATATTCCTGGGAGAATATAATTATAGGAAGTCCTTGATCAGTGGTGGGATTCAATTTTTTTTACTACCATTTCTGTGGGCGTGGCTTTGTGGGTGTGGCATGGTTTTGTGGGTGTGGTGTGGCTTTGTGGGTGTGGGCTGGTTTTGTGGTTGTGGTGTTGCTTTGACGGTGTGGCATGGCTTTGTTGGCGTGGCAGGGGAAGGTTGCTGCAAAATCCACATTCCTTCCTCACCCCACTAACCTGCTTTCCAGCTCCATTCTCCTGTTCACGGCAACAAAAGAAGATCGGCTGGGAGGCAGCAGGGCGTGGCCAGCCTATTTGCCGGTTCTCCAAACTACTCAAAATTCCCGCTAGCGGTTCTCCAGAACTTGTCAGAACTGGCTGAATACCACCTCTGTCCTTGATCTATAACCATTAAATTTACAACGACATTTATAACCTTTGCAGCATTTCCCCAAAGCCACAATCCAAATTTTGGCAGCATGCTGGGGTCATGCGATCACCACTTGATCACCATTTCGGCACCTTTCCAACCAGCAAAAGTCAATGGGAGAAGCCAGACTCCCTTAATAAACGCATGGTTCATTTAACAACGGCAGCAATTTGCTCAAGAACATGGCAAAAAAAAAGGTGTAAAATTGGATGCGACTCACTTAAAAACCACCTTGCTTAGCAATGGAAATTGTGGCTCCCAATTGCAGTCATGCACGGAGGATTACCGGCAACATTGCAAACCTTGCGTGTGTAAAGTCACAATAAAGTCCCACTAAACGTTAGCAGGGTTTGCCTTCAGGGAAGTGCCGAGTCGACCGAATTGCAGATTTACCAAGGGTGAGATTAAAGAGCTGCAGATGGATCCAAGATTTCAGCTCCAGGGCAGCAGCAGAAGAAAATCTGTTTTCTTTCAAGAGATAGAACTGGAGCTGTAAGAAATCAAGTCTCCCTCTGCAAATAAGAAAGGCCAAATTGATGACAGCGCTGGAAAACTGTTATCCAGTGCATCTGCAAGCTGCCAATCAAGAAATGCTGACTCAGAGGCAAAGGGGTAATTTCCGTGCAACTCTTTTGCATCCTTTTGCCCCCACTGCACTCCTACCCCAAATAAGGGCTGTCCAGTTTGCCTTCTCCTTAGACCAGGAGTGGGTTTCAACCGGTTCGCGGCGGTCCCCGCGAACCAGTTGGTTGGCGAACCCGGAAGTAAGTAACTTCCGGGAACGGCGAAGGAAACGCCCGCCCGCCCTCCCCGGTTTTGATGAGTTCTGCGCTTCCACGCATGCGCAGGATGCATACAGCGCCTGTGCGATCCTCCA